GCCGTCCAGCCAGTTTTTGACCCAGCGCAGAGTCCACCTGTCTAAGCCGTGAGCCGCCAGCTTCTCTAGGAGAATGCTGTGGGAGACAGTGTCAAAGGCCTTGCTGAAGTCCAGGTAGACCACATCCACAGCCTTTCCCTCATCCACTAGGCGGGTCACCTGGTCATAGAAGGAGATCAGGTTGGTCAAGCAGGACCTGCCTCTCATGAACCCGTGCTGGCTAGGCCGGATCCCCTGGTTGTCCCGCTCATGCCTTGTGAGCGCCCTCAAGATGAACCGCTCCATAATCTTCATGCTGTGTTAACACCCGCCTGCCTCACCTGCTGCAATGTAGTTAGCTCCAAACACAGTTTCCCATCTTTCTCATCTCCTTCTTATTGCACATTCCATGAGATTTTTTGCTTTCTCCTAATCATGGTTCTCTGCCTTTTGATTGTTCCTTTTTCCCTCTGCAGGCATGTGTGCACGTTGCTTCCAGGTACAGCTGGACTGCAGAAGTCCAATTGTTCATCAGACTGTAGTCTGTTAAAAAGATGCCATTACTCAACATTTTCTTCACTCCCCGCAATCAATGTCAATCTTTTCTACTTGAAATCAGGTAGGTAGGGCCATTTTGTCTGTATATGTGAGAATCACCAATGACAAGTATTCCATTTCAAAGAAAATTAATTTCTTTTCAGTATTTTTGTTAATAAACAAAAAAGGTTTGATAGTCTATATTGCTTTTTGCTTGCAAGTGTGGGATGGGGGGGAGACATCAGAGGAGATTATGCCTAAGCAGAAGGTTAAGTTCTGGCATTGGCATGGCATGGGGGTAAGTTTTCAGAGGCTGTGCAGATACCTTCTTTTTCTTGTAAATGCACGCCATAGAAATGCAAACAGCAACACACGTGAGTTAGTCACATTTGTTGAAAATAAGGGCAAAGTGTGATTCAATCCGCATTAGAGAGAAACTTAAGATAGATTCTCTCCTGGGCCTGCCTCTTGGTACCAAAGGACAGGAAAAAATTTGTGGTTCATATCTGACTATTGTAAGATGATGCTCCCTGGTCTTCTTTTTCCTTTTTCACTATGAGTGACTCAGAGCAAAGCCATCTTCTAAATGTAGCTTGTTGACACCTTGGTACTGGGCAAAAGAAAACCAGGTATGGGGATTTTTTGGGGAGCAATGATGAAAAGAGAAAATAATTCCTTCCCAACAGTGATGAAGATCTTGAGTTGATGTTGTGCTGGGTGCCAAGGATAACATTAC